GCTCTTAGTTATTAATTATGAATAAGCGTTGAATTTTATTAAGTGACTTTCAGAATCTATTGAGATGTGCATGTGGCTTTTTTCTTTTACTTTTTAATCTGGTAAATGACATTTATATTTTTTCTGATGATAAAGAACTCTTGCATTCCTGGGATAATCCTAAATTGATCATATTATTTTCTCTTTTTGTATAAACCACTGGATTTAGTTTTGTTTATTTTTGTATGTTGACTAGTGACCTTGCTAAATTTACCAATTAATTCTAAATTTTATCTGTAGATTCTTTTGTAAACTTTATCCATGCATTCCATCACATAGTCGGTGATTAATGGGAGTTTTGATTCTTCTTTTAATTTTTCTAGCTCTATGGTACTGTATAATGTTTAACCAGTATGATGTTACAGTGTCGAATAGAAGCGGTGAGGGTAGTCACCCTTGTCACCCTTGACTACCCTTTAGAGGGTAGTCACCCTTCTAAAATGTGGGGAAGGAGGGAAAGCTTTCACTAGTAGATATTTTGTAGATAAGCTTTATCAAATTAATAAAGTTCACTTCTGTTCTAATTACTTTAAATTATGAATGAGTATTGCATATTATCAAAAAATTTTTTTTCTCTATTTAGATAACCATATGGTACCCCTCCCCATTATTTGCTTAATGTGGAGAATTTCAAATGTCAAAATAACCTTGCCTTCCTGGAATAAATCCAGTGGGCATAATGTACAATCTCTTTCTATATATCTCTTGATTTGTTTTATTAATATTCTATTTAGAATTTTTGCATCATGTTCATGAGAGATTGCTCTGTAATTTTCCTTTTTTTTCAATGTCCTTGTCAGGTTTTGGTAACCAAACCTCATAAAGCTAAGTGGGACGTGTTTTCCCTTTTTCTCTTGTCTGGAATAGTTTGTGTAAAATTGTTATTACTTCTTCCTTAAATGTTTAGAAGAATTCCAGGCGAAACCAGCTTACCTGCTGTTGTCTTTGTGGAAAGGGTTTAAATTGCAGGATTAGTTTTAAAAATAGATACGGGACTATGCATATGGTCTATTTCTTCTTGTGTTAGTTTTGATGAATTCTGTTTTTCAAGGTATATGTCCATTTCATCTAAATGTATTGTCATCCTCTTATCTTTTTTAATGTCTGTGGACCTGGTAATAGTAATTTGTGTTTTCTTTATTTCTTTTTTTGTTTCCTTCTTAGTCTTGCTAAGAGTTATGGACTTTGCTAGTCTTGTCAGAGAATCTGTTTTTGATGTGATTGATTATGTTTGTTTTCTATTTTGTTGATTTTTTTCCTTATCTGTATTATATCCTTCCTACTACTTTATTGGTATTTTATTTGCTCTTCTTCTTCTACCTTCTGTTTTTTTGGCCATGCTGCTCAGTTTGCAGGATCTTAGTTCCCTGACTGGGATCCAACCCGTGCCCCCTACAGTGGAAGCGTGGAGTCCTAACCACTGGGCCACTGGGGAATTCCCTTTTTCTACCTTCTTGAAGTGGAAGTTGTATCATCAGTTTTCAAATTTTCTTCTTTTGTAATATATTCACTTAAACATGTTCATCTGTATTTCCTTCTAACACAGACTTAGCTATATCCATAACTTTTATGTCATATTTTTATTATCTTTCACTTCAAAGTATTCTCTCGTTTCCATTGTGATTTCTTTTTTGACTCATGAATTATTTAGAAATGTATTTACAAATATATGAAGACTTCCTAGTTGTCTTTTTATTATTGATTTTGAGCTTAATTCTACCGTAGCCAGGAAATATATACTGTGTATCCGTCCTTCTATATATACTGTGTATCCGTCCTTCTATATACACTGTGTATCCGTCCTTCTATATTTGTTCATACTTGCTTTAGGGTCCAGCATATGACCTATTGAAGTGAACGATATCCCCCTCACACTTGAAAATGATGTGCTCTGTAGTTACTGGGTACAGCGTTCCACATGTGTTAAGAGGATAAACATTGTTAATCTTGTGCAGATCATCTGTAGTCATGATGTTTGATATGCATGTTGTCTCAGCTACTGAGAGAGATTTAAAAACAAAATTTTTAACTGTGATCGTGGATTGGCTTATATTTCTTTTTAGTTTTGTCAGTTTATGTTTTATATGCTTTGAAGCTATTTCTCAATATTTAAATTTTATTCATCATAATTTTTTCTTTGAACCATTAGTTACTTAGAAGTACATTATTTGCATTTTTGCTATTAAAGTTTTTAGCAAGGGAATGAGGCAATAAAATTTATTTCTTAAAAAGAAATATTGATGATGATGTCGATTTCCTTCTGCCATGCCCCTTGGGCATCCACTGGCTGTGTCCTACTCCACAGTTATAAACGTAAACTACAGACTCACCAATTAAGCTGATGTATGAACTAGTGGCAGCACCAGTCACTATGATCCCATGATAAATTCAGCTAAATCCTCACGTTCGTATTGTTCACTCCTGTCCTTCTCTCTCAGACCCTGGGTTGGGTGATGTGGATTCTGTTGGCTTTTACTGGTGTTTGAATACTAGCCTATGACTTTAATCTCTAAGAGATCTTGATGTCTTATATACTAATCTGATTTAACTGACCAAAACGACCGCATCTCAAAGTGAGTTATGGTAAATAAAAACGTTAACAAGTATAAGCAAATATATCACACTGGTTTCCAGCTCCCAATTTTTTGAGATAATAAAATGTGAATCCTTTTTATCACTGAACGTTGCAATATTCATTGTAGATGGTTTTTCTTGAACAAAATAAGGAGGCAGTTTTCTTGTTTGGTGGACATTCTGCTATTTATAAAATCTTCCATAACCTGAAGCATACACGTAATGTAAAATTCAGTTTGGTTTATATCCAATAGCTTCTGAGAGTTTTCCATGGACTTTTGGTGGTCGGCAAAGGACTTACTGGAATAGAAATATCACAGCTTCTGTGCTGTGTGCAGATGCTTACTGAGTGTGATGAAGGAATCATTCTCTATCTAACTGAGCACATATTCTGAGCAATTAGGCCAAGTGCCAAAACCATTAAGGCTCAAATGCCAAGTGCCTGTAGGGAGGGTTCTGTTACTGGATTTAGCAAGCAACCCCTGGCTCACTTACCAGAGGGGGGCACTCCAGGCTTCCTGATCGCCGTGCCAGCCTGGCTGAGACTCAGCAGCTGTCACCCGGCTGCTGCTGGCTTCCACACGCTCTCCCCATTGCTGCCTCTGTCCCCCCTCTTCTTGCCCATCTGCCCTCCATGTGGCTGCCACTTGAGTGGTGGGCGCACAGTTGGAGGCACCTTACAAGTTGAGTCATGACACCAGCTGACACATTGCATTCACCTTTCCAGTGCCTCCATACCCCGCAAGCCCCTTCTACAGCTTGGCAGCTTGAAAGGAAAGGATTGCCAATTCCTGTTTCATAACATTTCAAGGGCTCCATTCTGAGTCTCTGGAGTATCCTGGCACTCAAGGAAACTGAGCACGGGGGCGGGAGAGGGAGAGCCACACGGGAAATTATGGACATCCAGGCAGGCCCTGGCCTGCACCCAACAAAACCTGGGGAGACAGGGAACGAGAGTAGCATTTGTAACTCCAAAATTGTATCAAGATGAGCTGAAGTCTGTTTCTGTCACTTCCCCATCCTGCCCTGTCCCACAACCATCACCCCCCCCCCAAAAAAAAGAGCGGTGCAATTTCTTAACAATTTGACTTTTATCCAGAACTGAGGCTCTTTGTTTGTTAGAGCTAAGCATTTGGTCCAAGACTGTCTGATTCTTTCTGTGGGAACTTGAATCAGCACCCGCCACCCCAGGCCCCATAGAAGAAGCAGATGGGGATCTTGGCGAGGTTCGGAAGTCCAGGACTTGGACAGGTTGAGAGTTCTATCTGCCAGACTGACTGGCTTGTAATTAAAAAGCTTCTCCTCTTCCTCTTTTGCACTTCTCAACTTATCTGAGGAATCAAGAGAGTGTTCAATCATGCATAAAGACAAATCTGTCCGTATAAGTGCAGATCTGCATTTGAAGTCAAGGGCTTACCAGCAGAGATGAGTCACGCAGGCTGGTTAGGGCGATGGGGCACACCCAGTGTTCTCTGCACGGTTAGGGCTGGGGTGTGCAACCCCCCTTCCCCTCTGTTTGCACCTCTAGTCCCTCACCTAAGCTGCGCCTACACTAAACACCCCTTGACTGCAGGATTCTGAAGCGGGTTTTGGGTCTTGTTAGTGACACTGACACCAGATTGTTAATGTTTATCTGCTTTCTAATACTCAAAAGAAAATAAGTCGGGCTTCCCTGGTGGCGCAATGGTTGAGAGTCTGCCTGCCGATGCAGGGGACATGGGTTCGTGCCCCGGTCCGGGAGGATCCCACACGCCGCGGAGCGGCTGGGCCCGTGAGCCATGGCCGCTGAGCCTGCGCGTCCGGAGCCTGTGCTTCGCAACGGGAGAGGCCACAGCAGTGAGAGGCCCGCGTGCCACAAAAAAAAAAAAAAAAAAAGTCATTAGTCTCGACATTTTAATGTGTGAGCGTTCTGAGAAAAAACTTAAACTTGCTCCTTTGGACTAAGTTGTGCTCGTTGTCAGATTGAATGCATGTTAGAAACTTAAGAACAAAGTGAGGCATGACCACTTACGGCTCTTGGCGTAATAAGAACTTGGAGTTATTTTCACAAATATCTGTGTTTTTCTTTAAAATGTTCTAAAAGTGCCAAGGAGTTGGGGTCTTCTCCCTAGAGGAGCTCTGCAGTGGGGCATTGGTGATTTGGAGGGGGCAACAGCAGGAAGCACTGCGGTCAGTGCCCACCTGTGACGGAAGAAGAGTGTTATTTCTCTGTGTGTTCATGGAGGGATCGTTTACGGATCTCACCAGAGTCGTGTGCACACTTCCAGGGCAAGAGGGGAAGATGTCACTTGTAGGGGTTTCCTTACAGGTTGGCAAGGACTGTGCTGCTGCCTGGGGGTGTTTCCTCTGGAGTCATTCTCTGATGCTTAGATTTCCCTCTCACACAGGCAGACGGCTCCCATTCCAGCTCTGAATTCTGCCGGGGTAGCAGGAGAGGCGCCAGTTGTCCAGCTTGTTTGGGTAGCCACACCAGGAGGAACTCTGGAGACGGTGGAGGGACAGGGATCTCTCCTCTGCAAGACTAGAGCTTTATCTTCCAAAGTGGAGACGCCCCAGCAGGAGGTGAGACCTGCTTACCATTAGTTGGTCCCACTCTGAGTCATCACTGCCTGAAGCAGCTACCAGCTGTGGTACCCCATGGTCACCGGGGTCTCCTCCGACCTCGTGGCACAGTCAGGCATTCTCAGATCGCTCCCACTCACATTCGTTTATGCAATTTTGTTTTTCTTGCAGTTTAACACACGCATCTCCGTCTCTCTCTTTCACACCCAGGCACAGTGAGATTTAGTAACCCATTTTAATGAGGCAATTATATTTTAACTCTATTATGTGCAATTATCCACTCACTTCAATTGCCTCAGCTGGAGAGCCTGGTGTTGAGGTCCCGCTGGCACTCGCTTGCTGGCCCCGGGGGTAGCCGGGTGGCTGGGCCTCTGAATGCTGGAACGCGGACACTCCCGCTGCCCCCCGCCCCCGCTCTCCACAGGTGGCTCAGTGCTACCACAGGGCAGGGACAACTGCAGTTTCTGGCCCACCCAGTGAAGCTCTTGATTGCCGTGTGGGTGGCCTAGATCTTTCCCATCTGCTCTGCTGTGCTGGCTGGGTTGTTTATCCAGGCCCCAGAGCCCCAGGTAGCCTTCAAGCTTGGAGGGACCAGAAAAACAGACTTGGGTAATCGGAGCCATGCACCTTGGTCTGGGTTTTTTTCCTATAGTCATCTAGGCTTTAGGTACCTAGGAGTGAGGGTGGGAGACGGGGGCTGCTATATGCCCATCCTACCTTTGCAGGAAAGTCCCAGTAGTAACTTTAAAAAAGAAGGTTTTAATTATATCTGCTTCATGCAGAGTAATATATCTAATTTATGTGGTAGCACAATGCATAACAAAGCGGTCACCCAGGGACTTAACCACCCAGCTTAATAACTAGAATATTTCCGATACTTTTGCATCTACCTGTGGCCATTTAGTCCATCCTTGCCTATGCTTAGAGGGAGCCATTTGCTTGAATTTTGTCCCTACTTTTCACTTGGTTTTCTTCAAACTTTTAGCCCATATGTATGTGTCTGCATTCGTTATCTGTTAGTTTTGCTTGCTTTGAGTTTAATTGAAACGGTGTCCTTCTATAGGTAGCCTTCAGTAACTTACTCTTCTCCACGTAGTGTAATGTTAAAGATTCATCTTTGCAGCTGTGTTGAGTTGCAGTTCATTTATACTCACTGCTATATAATATCCCAAGTTATTTGTCCATCCTCCCATCAAAGGAAGTTCTGGCTTTTCTTGATATTTTTTGTTTTGTTTTTTTGGTTTTCATTATGAACAATGCTTCCATACATTCCTGTGTACATATACCAGTGCACATGCGTGAGAATTCCTCTATCTTGGACTGGAATTTCTGGGTTGTAGAGCATGAAAATGTTCAAGATTATAAAAGAGTGCCAAATTGTTTTCTAAAGTGGTTCAACCGACTCGTAGCCCTTCCAGCCAGGCAGTATCTTTTGGCTTTTTCAGATTCCTAAGTATTCTATGTCCAATGTGACACGACGGTTAAGAGCATTATTTGGAATATGAATTCCAGATGTTGGCTCTGGGACCTTGCAAAAATTAGTTGTTCTCTCTAAGCCTCAGTTTTTTCATCTGTAAAGTGTGGGGCAATACTTGAGTACAGTTCACCTTGGCAAACTCCTTGCCTTAATGAAAATGCAGCATCCCCCAGCAGCCCAGTGCCAAGTGGAGCAAACCAAAGTCCCCTGTGCTGTTGTTCAGGATATTAGCTACTTAGTACCATTCACAATTTAAATCTGTCCTGCAAAGAAAATGAGAGATCAGTAAGATGTCAGAAGGTATAAACATTTTCTGGTTTGTATCAGAGGTGGTAATTTGGTAATTAACACCCACCACTACTGCTGGTATCTCGTACATATCAGTTGGGTTTTCTCTCTGGGCTGTCAGTGGAACACCTGTGCCCTCAGAGCCCCATAGACAGCGCGAGCTACACCAAGACTCCCTCTCACTGGAGCTGCCCTCAGAGACAGCCAGTGATGATGCTACAAGCAGTAACGTTAGGACCGGGCTTTCACAAAGCACATTTCTGTAAGGCCTATCATTGTCTCCCCACTGAGGTCCTCATAGTTAAATGTTATTTCTATTCCCATGTCTTAGAGATAAAGAAACTGAGCGTTAGAGGCAATTAAGTGACTTGTGTCATGTAAATTGCAGAAGCTTGACTGAGGCCCAAGTCTTCTGTCCCTGGATCCAGTGCTTTCCCCACCTCCTCACTATGTCTTACTGTGTCATACTCCTAGTACGTGTTCATTCATTTTTCCTTTCTATGTTATTAATATAATCCACTCGATTATAGAAAAACAAAAAGAAATCCATTTGTGTCTGCGGAGGTGGCTGTAGCCAATAGCCAGGATACCGAACAAAGTCCACTGTCAAATGTGCTTTAAGAACAGTTCAAGAATTAAATTGTGAAAGGCTCATTCATAATGAAAAAGGCTTCAGATCACGGGCTTTAATTTCTCCAAGTTTTAATGACTGAAAGGTTTGGTGACAGCTGAAGCGAGTAGTTCCTGCATCTTTATTGCTGGGATGCTTTTTCACGAGGAGCTTTTTCACCAGGCATTTTCATCACCGCCTCATCATCTTCTCCTCTCGTTTCTACAAGACCTCACTTGATAATCTTAATCGTCTTTTTAGTGTTCACTTTCACTAAAAAAAACCTCTCTGGGCTCAGGCATCAGCTGTCCTTGGTGACCGGGCTTCACGTCTGTCTGGCTGCCGCTCAGATGGTGAGGGCCCAGCCATGGCTCTGCCCCGCTCCACCACCTGCACAGGCCAGCAAGAGGACACAGTGCCGCCGCTTGGGTCATTCCACTCAAGACTGAGGGATGAGAAACACCCCGATTCCCTATGACTCAGGGCCCAGCCTGCCCTCCGGAGTCTCACTCGGCAGGTCACAGATCCAACAGTCTTTCTGGCTTATTTCCCACAGATGCTGAAAGGCACTCGCCCCGCTCAGGTCACACTGCAAGATTTCCAAGCACTTCTTTGTGCACCGTCTTGATGTCGCGCGAGATCAGCCGGGTGTGATTGTCCCGGAGGCGTCCAGATGGAGGTAGAGTGTGCGGTGAGCCTCAGCCTTCCCCCCGGTCTCCCCAGTCAGACCCTGCCCTGCTGTCAGTCCTGTCACACGGTCATCACAGAGAGCGGTGACTGGACCCTGGAGCAGGGAGTTGAGGAAGTGCATTGGCCCAGGTTTTGTCTCTGCAGGAGAGTCCTGATTTAAGCCCTGATTTGAGTAAATGTGACTTTACTGGCCCTTTCTTTTCTTAGAGACATGTTTCCTTCCCTCAGGGAGCTTATCGTCTTTATTTCCTCAGCTCTTCATTGCTTGAGGGCAAGAGCTGGGTCTTACTTTGTGTTCTTTGCAGGGACACCAGCCCCTGAATATTAGTTGAACTGACTTGGTCTTCGAATCTCAGAGAAGCCATCAGGTGTAGTGGTGGTACACAGCCTCTGGAGCCCAGGCCTTAGAGTCCCATCCTCTCTCTGTCATCTGTTACCTAAGGCAGGTTACCCTGGCAAAGTAACATTGCCTTCTTGTGCCTCATAAACACCTGAAATGGACTTTGCTGAAGTTAATCCCTGGCACTGTGGTGTCACATAATTTACCATCTACTTCCTGGCTCTGAGACCCTTCTCAGACTCCCCTTCCTGGCCTGAGAACTTAGTTCTTGACCTCTTGTGGATGGTTCCAGTAAACAAGTAGTTGACTCCACTTACAATCTCTTTAGAAAACAGAAAAACATCCCTCTTCCAATTACCCTGGGCTCTCTTGTCCCTGCTGAGGACCTGAAGGGTTTTCCAAAGCAACCAAATACTCTAGCCAGAGGTCCCAGTCTCAGACCAGCGACCAGCTAGTAAAGACCTATACTCCTGCCAATTTCCCAGGGACCGAATTCCTTCTATACACTTGCCATTTTAAATCACCCGTTTGGGGCCGGGCCCTTTGTATATTTCACGTCTCACCGTCACCTAAGCCCCACAAGGCAGACATCGGTATTGCTGTTGTCCAGTGAGAATCAGGAGGGTCTGAGAGGTTGAGGCTCGTTCCCCGGTGGCAGAGCATGGATCAAAGCCAATTCTGTCCCCTCTCCACTCTTCTTCCATCCTAGCTACAGGAAGGGAGAAATAGCAAATCTGTCTCCAAGGCAACCAGAGGAAGGAGGGTGGCCTTCCAAGAGTGCAGCTCATTTGGGATATTTATGTACACTTGTGTCTTGGGAAGAGGCTTGGGCTGGGGTTGAGGCAGCCACGAGCACTTTCCAAATGGACTTCCCTGGCTGTTTGAGGGGAGAGAGCTTCGTGTGGTCTGGATTCCCCTAACAGTGAGAGTCTTGAGCAGCGGCTCTTTCTTTTTCTTCTGACAAAGAAAAAAAGATTTTATGCCATTTATATATTTTTCCACTAACCACCAAAGAGGCCGGGACACAATGATTTTCCATAATTAGAAGCTGATTATCTGTTTCTACGTCTGCTTTGATTAGAACAGGAGGAAAAGAAAACAAAATACAAACTCTGAACTGAAGATTGTCTGATTTTAGATGGGCAGTGCCCAGTCATTAAGGAGCCGGGCCACTATCTTTGGTCCGTTATCTGGGGAATAGTAGTCACTGGACTATAGAAATTCTGCCCCAGCCTAATTTCAATCAGGATACTTTTAATGCTGGTAGTTTTGTAGAACTAGGTTAATTCTTTCCTGTGACTTGAGCACCATCCACCTAATAATCAGCTGCTTATTATTTAAAAGTAAATGCATTCCTTAGAATAAGAAATGCTGTGATAGCTTGTGCAAAACCTATCATGCTGTACTCTCTCAGTTCAGGTGGAAATGGAAGTTATGAATCTACTGACATTGTTGTTCGCTCCATGATATCTAACTATTGGCTGAAATGTACCTAAACATGAATCACGAAACAGAACACGAAGGTGGTAAGGAGTTTGGGTAGATTAGTGTAAAATGGTTAGGTGAACACCCACGTGTGTGTGGTGTGTGCTGAGTGGACAAACCCCAAAGTGGTCCCTCGGTTCCCAGAGCGGGATTGTCTAATTGCAGGAAAGGGCCCAGCCAACTGCTTCCCTAACTGTATTAATAGGGCAAACCAGAGCATGCTGTTTATAGAATGCTCACCAGTAAGCCCCGAGTTCATATCTGCCAAAGGAGACCTTAGTCTCGACTTTCAAAGTCTTCCATATTCTCTATTTTTCCCCAAATTTCATATAATTTAAAAACTTTATAAATGTAGTGTACATTTTGAAGACTCCTTTCTTCTAATAGAAAGTTATTTTTTATAAGTTATTACCAGTAATTTCTGGTGCTTAGAACAGAATGTAACTTACACATTAAATATGTTTTTTTTTTAAAGATCTTTTAAAAATTTTATTTTATTTATTTTTGACTGCGTTGCGTCTTCATTGATGCGTGTGGGCTTTCTCTAGTTGTGGCCAGCAGGGGCTACTCTTCATTGCGGTGCGGGGGCTTCTAATTGCGGTGGTTTCTCTTGTTGTGGAGCACGGGCTCTAGGCACGCAGGCTTCAGTAGTTGTGGAGCACAGGCTTAGTTGCTCCGCGGCATGTGGGATCTTCCTGGACCAGGGCTTGAACCCATGTCCCCTGCATTGGCAGGTGGATTCTTAACCGCTGCACCACCAGGGAAGCCCTTAAATACGGTTTTGAAAAACTCTGAGAACTATGTTTAGTGTTTGGTACAACTTACATTCTTCTCAAAAGCTCTTCTCTTTGATCTGTGGATTTGGATGTTAAATTTCTTTCCTATCGATTTTTATACTGGTTCTTTTGTCAGTCTTCTTGTTTATAATTATTTTTATCAGCAGTTTGGGGCAAACTTTTTAATATTTTACACCTAGAAAGTTTACAAAGATGCAAAATTTGCAGTTTGTGTTTTCACATTATTGAGAAATCACCATGGTTATATTCGGGAAATTCCGAAGAAGTGAGATTGCAAATTCATTAGTAATGATTGTGTAAAATAGGGGTTATGAAAATGCAGAGCCACAACAATGACACTGAAGTATCAATGAAATATCAACACTTAGACAGGGAACAGCATTTCCATTGCTTTCCCAGCCCCCAAGGAAGGTCTGCTTTTACTGAGAAGCCATCAGGTGTAGTGGTGGGTACACAGCCTCTGGAGCCCAGGCCTTAGAGTCCCATCCTCTCTCTGTTATCTGTTACCCAGGCAGGTTACCCTGGCAAAGTAACATTGCCTTCTTGTGCCTCATTTTCCTCATTGGTAAGAGGGGGATAATGGTTTTGCGACTCAAGCTAAAACGCATAAAAAGTGTAGAATAATGCAGTGCGCGTAATAAGCATTTATGGGATGTTAGCTGTTCTTAGTTTCATTACAGTTATATTGCTGAAATTCGGATTGGAGGAAAAAAACACACAACTCAGTGATCTCTACCCATTTAATCCTTGGTATAACAGACAAAGGTCTAGACAAAGAGTGAAGACATCTGGGTTCTGGTCCTGGCTTTGACTCACTCTAGCTTTGTGACCCTACTGCGCATCCAGGGGCTTGGGTTCCTCAGCACTAAAATGAGAGGATTGTAGTGGAGATCCATTCCCTTCACCTCTAGCATCTAAGGTAGTGCTCTAGTGGGTCAAAAAACCCCTAAGAATTTAGTTATTTTTTTCATGCAGTATCACATCTTAATACATCAAAACAAAGCCTCCAGATGCCAGCTGAAGTGAGAGCTGGAAATATTCTGAAACAGGGTTTTCAGAGATACTCTGAAAGACACTTTTTAGGCAAAATTCTGATCAACAAAGAGTTGGGAAAATATGACTGTTTTTAAAAAGCTAAAGAAAACAACTGCAAGAGAATAGTAATATCAGCTCTTTTATTCTAGTGTCTGGCTTTGTTTCTAGGAACCATTAGATGAAACAAACAAGCAGAGGAAGGAGGAGGAGGGAACAAGAGAAATAAAGTACAACTTGTGTGTCATGTATGGTTGTTATTTTAAGAAAATGTATTCTGACCAATTTTATTCAAAGAATAAATCAACAAATACCAAGTAGCAGTCTGCCCCAAGATTTTTTTTCCCCAGTATAGACCTAATCAGAATAATCAGGTTATGTCAAAAAAGTTTCCAGTAAAATGGTTGTCTCTATCTTTTCCAGTGTTATTGTTAAATACTAGCCACTGTGGAGTTGCACAGCCCCCTTGCCTGGTAGTCTTAGCTGAGTAAACATTAACACTGTTCATTTTCCCCTTGGAAAAATGAAGGCGAACAATGGGAAAAGATGTAACAAATGTTTTGCAGCCTTATTATAAATATTTTATGAGTGAATCAGAGAAATTAAAGATGAAAAGCCCACTAACTCTTGCCGGTACCCTGAAGTCTACTGCTGTATACTTCTAAGTGGTTTGTCTGGTCTAGTTTTTAGTGACTCAGGTGGTAGGGAATTTACCACTTCCCTCAAAGCTGCTTTCCAAGTGGAGACTATCTGGCCTGCTAGGAAAGTTTGACAAATTCCCCTTGCTTTGTTCGATTTTCTCATTAGTCTCATCCGATTTAGCCCGTTTAGTTGCTCATCTTTAGTGTCTTTAGAGTCTTCATTGTTTCCTATGAAACAGTGTGTTTTTCGTTTCTTTCTTTTCTTTTCATTTAGCGTTTCTCTCTTCACTTTTTGCCCGGAAGGGAGCAAAGATTTTTATTTTTTGCTTGTGGATAGGTGAGCAGTAACCATCATTCAACAAATTCACAACAGCAACCACAACGTGAAGTGATCACTTACCATGTCAGGTGTCGTGTTAAACACTTTGTCTACATTATCTCATTTATTAAGTACCTACTATTCGCCAGATACCAGGAATGCAAAGTTAAATACGATCCTACATTTTTGACAAAGCTTATAATGTACCGGAGGGGACAAGCATTCAAACAGGTAACGTCAGCATAGCGTACCCAGTACATGGGGCTGTCTTCAGAGTATTGTTGGGACATGGAGGATGTCCAGTCCAGCAGTGAAGAGAAGGGGACAAAGGCAGAGGTCAGGTGGGGTGGGAGGATGATATCCCAGGGGAG